CATCCCTGGGCTCTTTATGTGTGTTATATGTGAGAACACTGAAGCGTGTGATGGTTGATGCTTCACGCCATTATTGCAGCAATGAAAAAAGCTTTTCGAGCATCACACAGCGACAAGTGTCAGTTTGTTGCTTCACATAGCAGGTTTCCACTGAAAAAGCTTCATAACCCGTCACCTTTTGCCCAAGTAGTGTGAACACAGCACAAGCATGGCAAAATCTGCTGATGCCTGGTTAGATGGGGTGAAGATTTGCAAACTCTGGAGCCTCTGAATAGAAACACTGTTCTGTGCACTTTTGTAACCCCAACACCGTCTAGTCAGTGAGGATTTTGTGATATCTATCTGCAATAGAGTTAAAGCATTAAAATATCATGTTTAAAAATGTCAGTCGTCACATATCTTGTGAGAAATGGGGGTTTTATTGCGATATTCATAATCCACAGACTCACTAAAGAGTTTTCATTAGAACTATTTCTTTAATATAAGGCAGTTCCTGGATAATCCTGAAAATCCATCATCTGGAAATTGACTGTTAAGCCTGTCATTTCCTCCAAAGATCTCCTGAAAACAATTTCATCTACTCATGGTATTAGGTTAAGGTTATAAGCAGTGAAAGGTATCTTTAAATCAAATCCTCAAAGTTAAAACTAAGTGTGTGTACCGCAAGTCGAACCTGTTTTTCTTGTCATTTTGCTTGGACAAAACAGTTTGAGAAAAATGAAAGCAGAGATGTGAGATGAACTTTCACATCACAGTCAAATGCACAGCTGTGTATTTGCTCTGTTGGAGGTATCAACCTTGAAATGCTCTAGCATGAAATGTGGCAGTGACACCTGCATCCATACCGAGCTGTTTATCATCACACATCGCTTAGACTCTCTGCCACCGATGTGACCATTAACATATAGATAGTCTCTGACTTCTGACCGTGATCTGTCCCAGGTGTCCATGAATTGTGACTACGTGTTCGTCAATGGGAAGGAGACGCGGGGCTCCATGAATGCCAGGGTCATCTTCAGCTATGAGCACCTGAGCGCGCCGCTGGAGCTGACCGTCTGGGTTCCCAAACTTCCCCTGCAGGTTGAACTTTCTGACAACAACCTGAGCTTCATCAAAGGCTGGAGGGTCCCCATTCTGCCCGACCGCAGGTGAGCCTCAAGTCCACCCTAAAACAGATAACATGCAATGTTGGAGACATCACAGTTCTCTACGATGACATCACAGTATTCAATAGATAGGAATCGTTTCTTTGTACGCTCTATATTGTTGCTCACACATGTTTTGGTTGTTTAGAACGTATCTGTGTGTTTATATTTTGCTGTGTTGTGTCATTATAGCAATTTTACAGTGTTCCCACTATTCACACAAATCCGTCCTTTTATAATTGGTAGGTCAAAACAACAGATTCATCCATTTTTCCTCATCCTTTGTGTGGTTTCAAATTACACCGGTAGCATATCAGAAGTAGAGTGTGCTTTGAAAAGTGCCTTCTTTACCTGCTCTGTGCAGCTTTTGTGAAAAGTAGACCCGTTGCTATTTTAAGGTGCACAGAGATCCACTTCTGGGATGTGTTGTGGTACATCTGGTGGAGACTTGAATGGATGCGATCATCTCCTGCCGCCACTCCAGGCCCAGAACTAATCACAGCCGTGACGAGTGTATTTCAGGGTTTTGTCGTTCCCTTTATGAAACTTCAGCCAGACAGGCTTCAAAGATTTTGCTCTTTTCCAATGAGAAGCACATTGTTGTTTCACTCTTCTGTGTAGTTGTATAAAAAAGAAAGTGTCATTTTAGGACATGATAGAAATCATGCTTGTTCGGTCTTTTTCTAATTTTAGCGTCAAAAACTTTCAAATTTAACATGCTGAATGAGGCCTGTAGAGTCTGATTGGATGGT